CTGCATGATTGGTAAATATTTCAGTCAAAAGGGCAGAGGACTCAGCCGCACCCAATAGCGTCAAAGAAAAATTTGAGGGAAAAGGTCTCTAGCAACAGAGAACAGCATGACTCCAGACTGCAGACATCAGCTGCATTAGTAGGTGTGCTGCAAGCGGTTAGCGAGCTGTTAGTAGAAAGTGATCTGAGGGTACCAGAGGCAAGACCTCAAGTACTCACAAATCCAAACAGCTGGTAGCAGGTGTAGAGGCAGAGACCAGAGGTTCAGATGGCCTAATATGGGCAAAGTCGGAATAGGGCAGCAGGTACAGATCAAAGTTTCATGTGGCTCTTTGCAAAAGGAACAGCAGCAGGGAGATGCTTCCTCAACGCTATATGGCAGAAAATAGAGCACACTTGCGGTATACCCAGCAGTTGACTTCAGCACAGATTTCCAAAGGCGGGCAGAAAGCAAGCTGAAAATTGCAGGAAAAACTCCAACAGTACAGTAAAGATAAGTCTTGATTGAAGAAACGAAGTGAATAGGTTCAAGATTTAAGACTTCCTGTTTCTATCAATGGATGAGAAAAGAAAAACTGTCTTCTATGTTGTAAACTGCTTCTCTTGTGTCAGCTACTACATGCCTGCATTGCCACAGAAATGCTGTCCTCTGTGCCTTTCTGTTTGGCATTAGCCAGGCTGCTTTACTCTTTATATCAGTAATTAAAATAATTTACAGCTGAGCTCGAGGCACAAAAACTTAATATTTATTTTCAATGGACATAAAGCCATTTTGTTTGCCAAATTTATTTACAAATCTAGATATTACTGTGCCACATACAGTCATGGCCATAAATATTGGCACCAATGAATTTCTGTCAGATAATGCATCACTTCGCCCAGAAAATTGTTTGTTACAAATATTTTAGGCATTTTCATGTTTATTTTGTTTGCATTGGTATGACTCAAAAAAGTGGAGAAACAAAAAGCCAAATCTGACACATTTCACACAAAACTCCAAAAATGGACTGGGCAAAATTATTGGCACCCTCAATTTAATATTTGGTAGCACACCCCTTGGAAAAAATAACTGAAATCAATTGCTTCCTGTAACCACAAATTAGTTTTACACCTCTCTACTGGAATTTTGGATCATTCTTCTTTCGTCAACTTCTCCAGGTCTCAGACTGGAAGGGTTCCTTTTCCCAACTGCTGTTTTGAAATTGGATGGGATTGAAATCTGGACTCATTGCTGGCTAGTTTAGTACTCTCCAGCATACCAATACAAACAAAAGAAATAAACATGAGCATGCCTAAACATTTGTAATTGCAACAGTTTTTTTGGGCAAAGTGGTGCATTATCTGATGGAAACACAGGGGTGTCAATATTTTTGGCCATGACTGTATATAGTTTGTGCAAAGAGCAGAGCTGTAAGTGGGACCCAGTAGGCCCTCCCTCTACAGCTTGCTTGCAGTTTCCTGCAGGGGAGTCAAAACAAGACCAGTCACCCTGCACAAGAAGAGAACAGACGTAAAGTAAAGGAGCTGTTTCATGCTTGGTTACTGCCTGTGGTGCAGCTGCCTTCTTGGATACTCGTGTCACATCTCCCAGGGGTTGCAGCACTAGGAATACAAAGCAGCTGGGGGTGTGGGCAGAAGGGTAGGCCCAGCTCATCAAGAGCTGGTTGCCTGAACACGAAAGAGGCAGCCTGCTGAAGAGGACCAGAATGTGTCACCCAAACAGCAGACAATGCTGGATTAGTATTTCCTCATGTTCCTATGCCACTGAGATTATTACATCACATTACTGTAGCAGGGAGTTTAGGATTAAGGGTGAAGGATGGTGTGCATGCTTTAAATGCTTTATGGTTCAAACAAATGTCAGTATTTACCAGCAAATGAGATCTGCTGATGTAATGGGGGATAATGCAGAGCATGTGATTTATGCCATGGGCAGTTTTTAAAACCTGTATATATTTTTTCAAGATGACTATGATCTTTTTCATAAGCAAAAAAAAGGCCACATTAAGAGCTTTACTTTATTTGTTTTCTAGATGTTCAAAAAAATTATAATTTAACCATTAGCCGCCGGCGGCTTGAAAAAGCGCTGCAGCTTTCCGGGTCCACGCCATTTGGCGTGCTCCCGCACATGCGCCGTTTGCGCTATTGCAGAGCGGCGCAGCAGCAGGGGATCTGTCACCGCCCGTGCACCTCGGACAGATGACAGATCCGAGTACCGGCTCCCGTTGCCGGTACCATGTGACCTGCCGCGACCAATCACAGCAGGTCACATGACAGTTGTATACAATGGATGGCTTCATTCATGATGCCATCCATTGTATATAGTGCCTAGCTGTGAATGGTCATAGCTAATCACATGCACATGTCATGTGATTAGCTGTGACCAAATCACAGCTAAGCACAAAAAAAAAAAAAAAAAAAAAAGCTGAATGAATCGATTTCATTCAGCTAAATGCTTGCTTATAGCAAAGTAATTCTTTGCTATAAGCAAATTGTGTAAAAAAAAAAAAAAAAAAAAAAAAATACTGATCACTTCCCCAAAGTAGTACAATGTTACTATGGTAACATTGTACTATTTTGGTCATAGTAAAATATGAAAAAAAATCTTAAAAAAAAATAAAAAAAATGTAATAAAAAATTAAATATAATAAAAAAAATAAAAAAAAATTAAAAAAAAATATAATTTTTTTTTTTTTTCATACTGTCACCAGTCAGTGTCCCTGTTCACCGCCATGCCAGTTATATGAAGACGCTGTACTGCACTGGTGGACAGTATGTAAAAAAAAAAAATAGTGAAAATATATATTTTTCATTTTTTCATTTTCGGAAAAATTATGACAAAAAAATACAACTTCAAAAAACTCGCCATGCCTCTTATGAAGTACGTCGGATGTTTACTACTCAGCAAAAAGGGGTCATTTGGGGATATCTGTACTATTCTGACATTCTTGGACCTTTAGATTGGCTGTCAGTACTTCAGGATTGATTATTCAGATCTATACCATAGTTTGTGAAACTCTATAACTTTCCTACAAACTAAATAATACATCCTAATTTGGGTTATTTTCACCAAAGACATGTAGCAGAATACATCTCGTCCTAAATTTATGAAGAACAATTATTTATTTGTAAACTTTTATAACAGAAAAAAGAAAAATGTGTTTTTTTTTCAAAATTTTTGGTCTTTTTGTTAATTTAGCAAAAAATAAAAACCCCAGCGGTGATTAAATACCACCAAAAGAAAGCTCTAGTTGTGTGAAGAAAATGATAAAATTTTTAGTTTGGGTACAATGTTGTATGACTGCGCAATTGTCATTCAAAGTGTTGTGAGAGCGCTGAAACCTGAAAAATGGCCTGGGCAGGAAGGTGTAAAATTGCACGGTATTGAAACGGTTAAAGACAGTTAATATAAAAGGACACTCTTTGCTAGAATGAGAGATTTTATATTTTTATGTACCAGAAATCCACATTTAGTAAATAGTGTAATTACATTAACGTAGGAATGCTTTAAAAACATTTTGATATTCTATATTATTGTCTGTCTTTATCCACTCTTTTTCTAGCTGCTGAGCTAAGTGAAGAGTCCTTTCCGTCGTTGTTGCTCATCTCCAAACTCATGAAGGTGAGAACGCACCGATTTTTAGGCTAGCATGTATGTTTGAGGGAAAGGGTTTAAGGGGAATCCGTTTTCAGTAACCAGTTGCAAAATTTGAGCTAAATAAGGAACGTACGCAAACTCTCCAAAATACGACTCTTCCTGACCAATGAAACCATAAAGCTCCTAGTTCACTCGCTGGTCATCTCTCGCCTCGACTACTGCAACTCCCTCCTCATGGGATTAGCTTTACATAGACTATCCCCCCTTCAGTCTATCATAAATGCTACTCCTCTCTGCCAATCCCTCCACTGGCTTCTGCTCACCCAATTAAATTCAAAATACTAACAACTTAAAAAGCCATCCACAACTCAGCCCCCAGCTACATCACTAACCTAGTCTCTAAATATCGACCTAATTGTTCTTTGTTCTTCCCAAGACCTCCTGCTCTCTAGCTCCCTCGTCGCCTCCTGCCACGTTCACCTCCAGGACTTTTCCCGAGCTTCTCCTATCCTATGGAATTCCCTACTCCCATCTGTCTGACTATCTCCTACTCTGTTTGCTATTAGACGATCCCTGTAAACCTGCTCTTCAGAGCAGCCTATTCTGCCCCCACCGAACAACTGTACTTTTATTGTATCCATCAGCTCATCCCCCACAGCTACTACCTTTTTTTTTTTTTTTATCACTTGACCCTCCCTTCTAGATTGTAAGCTTTAATGAGCATAGCCCTCGTATTCCTCCTGTATTGAATTGTATTGTAATTGTACTGTATTTTAGATTGTCATACCTTTGTGGTAAACACAGTTTTCTGATTCATCTTAGATAAGCTGTACTTTGAATATGCTAAACTGTAATAATGCTACCACTGTAAAATATGTCAAGTATTGAGAAATAAATATTGCTACTTATAAACCAAAAATCACTATGCCTTTTATATGTATTTTTCATGTCCTATAGATTGTATCCATATCTGCTTTACATAGAACAATTGCTAAAGCCTATGCAAAGTGGTCTTTACACTTAACCAGTGTTGTCTATCTTTTGTACAGGCTAACATATCTTAGAAGGTCCTGCTTTAAAACCTCATGTAAACATTCACATACAATCTCATATTTTGTGAAAATCATAAACTTTTGATAAGTTGAGTTGGTTTCTGGAATGTAATGTTTGCAAATAGATAAACTGGCAAAACCATCATTCTTGGCTAAGGTTCTTTATCTGTGATGTTCACATTTTAGGTTTCACTGGATACTTTATATATGACCGCTGTCAAACATGTGTTTGAGAAAAGTTTACGACCTAAAGCACTCAAACTTAAAAATAATGAATGCACTTCCCTTATGAACAAAGAAACTGCAAAGACTGTACTTACTATTCAGTCCTATCTTCAGTCTATTAGTAACCCAGAGTGGGCTGCAGCTATAGCTCACAGAATTGCTCAAGAGCTTCCAACAGGTATGTAGCTTAGGTCAGCCTATGTACAAGTAAGGCAATAGTTTTTGAGTTCTTTGTTTCTTTTTAAGCAAATGTGTATGTTGTGATTTTGTTTTAGGACCTGATAAAATTCACGCATTAAAATTTTGCTTACATTTGGCTGAAAACTGGAAAAGCAACACCTCTCCCAAGGTAATGCAGACTTTCATAAGTGCATAATATAACTGGAAAGTAATGGTTTTCATTGCATTTTTACCTGTCTGTATTTTACGTGTGTGAATTGCTTAAGAAAAGACCACCTGTAAACAGGCTTATGAAAATAAGCAGCATTCTCTCCTGCCCCTGCCAGAATTTAGCAGAAAAAAGCACCTGTAATGTTACAATATGTGTGTGCGTTTATGTGCATATGACTTTTGAGAGTAAATACAGAATATTGATTTATTCTATTAGTACTCAATTTAATTCATATTTGTAAATTTCCATTGAGTTTCACCCATTAATAGAACTTCAGAATCGGATCATGATCCAGACTGTTCGCTTTTCTTTTATTCTCCTTCGTACATTATATAGTCATAATGGGGACCATTTAGATGCTAACACACAAATATTTTAGTGAAGATTTTTGGCTTTCACCCTATTTAATTCCGCTATTTATTTCTTCTCAGTGTATGAATTATGCCACATAGGGCCAGCTAAGCCTGGCATATTTCCTTCAACCAAGCAACCCAGATGCAGCAGAGAGTCTGTCATTAACATAAATGGCTGTGTGCTACTGTGGTCATGTATATGTTGGTGCTATTGAAGCACAAATTCCGCATACAGACGTATGCAGAAAATAGAAAAAATTTATATACATGAATACAACAGCATGCAGCCAATACCTGGCTGCATGCTGTGCCTGAGCAGGAGGAAATATGCCGGCAAGTACGCCGAACGGGCTTAACCAGCCCGTGTGCAAAAGCCCTTAATGATGTCCTTACAAATTCACTTCTCATTTGTCAAAATCCTTGTCTGTGAACAAGATATAATCTATATTTTACATTTTATGCCTCTGGTTGAACCTTCCCCTGTGACAATCAATGTGGCATTATCTTCTTGTTTCTGTATTACCAGTTGTTTTTTCTAAACCTTGGTTTTCCGTCTGTGTTGAGCTGCACGCCAGAGACATTGCTTGCTCTAATTTCCAAATGACTGCATGTTACTTTATTTAAAACTCACCGTTGCAAAGCATGATATGCTCTGACACATCTAGACAGTGCAAGCCTTGAAGCAAATTGTAATAATTTCTGACCTATTATCCACTCCTATACCTACCCTTCAGAAGAACAAATTAAGCAAAAAATGTAGGGTGGACTGACTGAATGCCAAAATACAAATTTTGCATTTCTATTCCAAATTTCGCATTTCAATTTTTAAATTTTACATTACAATTTCCACATTACCATTTTCAAAAACAAAGGGGAACAGCACATCTTAATGTAGCCGATAAAATCACTTTAATGGTGGAAAAGTAAACTCACAAAGGTAGAGAAGTGCTCACTTTGGTAATGTAAGTCCTGTTGTAGGGCACAGTGATCCCACTGGGTGTCTATGTGCCCTAGATGGTGAGCAGGTGGCACGCCTGTGGCCAAAGATTTTGAAATTGAAATAATAAATTTGAAAATGGGATTGTAGAATTCAAAATGCTAAATTTGGAAACCGGAATACAGAATTTGGAGAGTCAAAGTTTGGAAATTGAAAAGCAAAATTTGGTAGTTGAAATGCAAAATGTGGAAATTGTGATGTGAAATTTGGAAATTGAAATGCAAAATTTGGAAACTGGGATTTGAGAATTGAAGTGTGGCATGTGAAATTTGGAAATTGGATTGTGAATTGTGGAAATTGGAATGGGAAACTGAAATTCGAAATGTGGAAATTGAGATGTGAAATGCAAAATTTGGACTTTAGAATGCGGAATTCAAAATGCAAAATTTGGAAATTGGAATGTGACATTTGGAAATTGAAATTCGGAATGCGGAATTGGGAAATTGGAATGCAGAATTAAAAATGTTAAATTTGGAAAGTGACACTTGGAAATTGGAATGCAAAATTTGTAGATTTAAATTTGAAAATTAGAGTGCGGTATTCTAAATGTGACATTTGGAAATTTGGAATGTGAAGATTGAAATTTGAAGTGGGGAAATTGAGATGCGGATTTCAAAATGCAAAAAATGAAATGCTGAATTTGAAATACGAAATTTGGAAATTGAAATGTGGAATTCAGAATACGAAATTTGGAAATTGGAATGTGAAATTTGAAGATTGAAATGTGGAATTCAAAATGTAATATTTAGAAATTAAATTGCAAAATTTAAAAATTAGAATGAAAAATTAGAAATTGAAATTTGGCATGTTTAATTTGAAATGCAAAATTTGGAATTCACAATGCAAAATTTGGAAATCGGCATGCTGAATTCAAAAAGTTAAATTTGAACATTAGAAATTGATATGCATAATTCAAAGTACGAAATTTGGAATTTGAATGCATCATTTGGAAATTGAAATTCAAAATTTGGAAAGTGGAATTCAAAATGCAAAATTGGAAATCTGGAATTCAAAATTTGAAAATTGGAATGCGGATTTCAAAATGCAAAATGTGGAAATTGGAATCCAAATTTCAAAATGAAAATTTGTAAATTGAAATGCAAAATTTGGAGCTTGAAATGCTGAATTCAAAATATTAAATTTGGAATTTAAAATGCATAATTTGAAAATTGCATTTTGAAAGGCAGAATTTAAAATGCGAAATTTGACCATTAAAGTGTGAAATCCTAAAGGAGGAAATCAAAATGCGAAATTTGGAAATAGAAATGCAAAATTTGGAACTTGAAATGGATATTTTGACATTGGAATGCAAAAATTGTATTTTAAAAAATTGAAATGCGGAATTCAAAATTTTAACATTGGAATGTAAAATTTGGACATTGGCATGCGGAATTCAAAATACGAAAGTTGGAATTTGAATTTTGAAATTTGGACATGTGCAATTTGAATGTGGAATTAAAAATTGGAAACGTGGAAATTAAAATGTGAAATTTGATTATTTAATATTTTGATTTCAAAAAATTTGAAAATTGGTATCTGAAATTTGCAGATTTAAAAACTGGAATGCAAAATTTGACATTTTTAAAATGCATTAAGGTTTAAAGTGGTTCTAAAGGCTAGCCTTTTTTTTTTTTTTTTTTTTTTTTTTTTTTTTTTTTTTTTTTTTGTAATTATATTCACTTTCTCTCCAGCTCAGTGATGTCTCAGACATCTTCAGCTGGCAGCTTCCGGGTATTGATTCCCAGATGATTCCTTTGCTAGGGCAGATCACTATTATACATGCATCACTATTATACATGCATGGGAGTTCAGTCATCTCGGCATTGCCAAAATTCTTACACTGAGCTGTGCATGCACTGCATGTTTCTTCTGTATTAAAAATCCTTCCTGTTCCCATTTTTTTTTTTCTATTTCAGGTCTCTTGTAACTATAGTTTTCAAATATAATAGGACTGCAATGTGTCACTTTTTATAAGATGAGAATTCTTATCCTGTTGTGTTAGAATTTTGATTTGAATCTGCTGTTTATACAATGGATCAGTATGTGTAGAGCTTAAAGTCTTGGAATTATCTTTTGATATTTGTATTTCTAAAACGTAGCTTTTCTTTTTTTTTTTTTTTTTTTTTTTTTCCAAAATGACAGTACCAAAATCCTTGGTTTTACGGAATGCAGGCATTTTAAAGGGGATCAGAATTTCATTTCAAAGGGTAATGTGTACAGCATTTTGGTTTCACGAATGCCTTACACAGAGCCTTAAAGTTCAACTAAGCTCAGCATCTGTTTCCCAAGACAGTCACATTTAAGTCATGCAATAATAACTTACAGTTGCTTGCGCTCTTGTGCTCTCAACCAGACTGTCAAGTCATAAATGACTGGTGCCATAACTGATCATATTTGCAACACCATGGCAACTGCAGATTAAACGGAGGATAAGATGGCACCTTCTTTGAGTGGAAAGGATAGGAAAATTGAGTTCTCCCTGCTCCCAGGGACATACTTTCTGCATCAGAAGCTTTCATCCTGTATACTGCCTTCTACAAGTCAGAGGGCTGGCAGTGGCCTTTGGTAAATGAAGGGCAAAAGTCAGAGGTGCAATAATTATAGCAGACAGCTAATAAGACAACTTTTAGATTGGGTTTATAACAGAAAAACTGAGCTCCTAGAATAAAGTAAATCATTTGCAAATGGTAAACATATATATTTTTTAAAAGACATTTTGTGAATCCGTTTATAATATTTTTTTTTCTTGTTTGTAACATTTAAGGTAGAGGCTCACGAAAGAGCAGAAGTGCTAATAAAGAAGCTCACTGTGCAATACCAGCGTTCAGCAACGGAAAGTGTTTTGATAATACACAAAGTAAATACTCCTGACCTTTTGAAACAGATTGGTAAACCAGCCAACCTCATAGTTTCACTTTATGAGCATAGCAGTGTGGAAGAAAGGATACGAAATCCAACAGGCAGAGATTATCCAGGTGTGAAAAATTAAAATGCCCATGTTACACGTTCTACTTAATGCTCTGCTTAAGAGCACATATAACATGCATGGTATTAGAATAGTATATTGATTAGCCAGGAAAGCTGCTTTTGTGGCTTTTTTATTTAATTTAACTTTGTAACTTGGTCCTTCATGGCAAATCCTTGCCAACTGCTCTTCCCCTGTCCAATGAGATTGCTGTACTTGCCAGTAAGGCCACTCCATTGGACAGGGCGGAGAACTTGGCAAAGTATAGTCATAAGGCGAGGCACTCCTTATCTTCATCCTAACACACACAGGAGATTCATTAGAGAATAACAATAATGCTAAGGTCATATCCCAGACTGCACATGATTTATAAGCCAAGTTTGACGTGAACCTTGTTCCTGTGCTGGGAAGGCTGAACAATGAAAAAGTATCTCTCTTAAGCATCTATTGTGCGTGCTTATTTTAAAAAGTCGCTGAGGCAAGGTGCTCTGAGCATGTTCATCACTGTATTGATACTAATTAGAGGTTTAGAGGTAATGTTATGTGGACTAATTTAAATTGTTTTTTTTTCAATAGTCTATGTGAGCGTATTATATATTACATTCATTAAATATCTAAATGTTTTCATAACATTACTGCTATATTTGTGTGCTTTTATGCCCCAGTCTGCTTTCCCCTAAGGAGTTAACACTAGAGTGCTGGCCACAACACTTGTGGTCATGGGTTGGTGGCAGAAAGAGGATCAGCATAGTTTTTAAAATTGTCTCCTTTTTACAAAGGTTATACTGCGCACGCGCCTCTACTGAGTCTGTGTAGCCTCCTTTTGGGTCAGTTGTACTCACCATTTTTTCCATAGTACACACAGACTTCTTAGCCTTTCCCACAATCACCTTCAGCAGCATCTGCACTACAGTTCTACAGGATGTTGAGCCAGGCTCCCTGATGTTTCAAGTAACAAAGTCACAGATGGCATTAGCCCTTTCATTAGCCCAAAGTCACAGATGGCATTAGCCCTTTCACAGATGGCATTAGCCAAATTACTCATTCTATGCCTAGTATGGCAATCCTTTTAAAACGTTTTTAACTGGTCTTGTGTATAGATTGATGGGAACCAGATAAAGTCTTTGCAATGAGTGTTTGTCAGGCAATATCCTATGGAGGCTGGGTTCCTGAAATAGTGGGCTGTTTTGTGGTGGACACAGCAGTTTCTTGTGTTGCCAAAATTTTTAACTGTCCCTTTTGAGGTTAGGTCCTGTCATGCTACCTACCATTGCAACCATGTCCATCTGTGCGTAGTATATAGAGTTGCTCTATGCATGTAGGGCAACAGTGAACAAAAACACACACATGCACAATGCCTGGTGTTGCGTGTCATTGGGGCCTTAGAGAACATCCCTATTATGAAGAAAATGGATGACCTCAAACCAGCATGTTCCTAACATCTTTACTGATTCAGAATTAAAGATAAACATAATCCAGTGTCACTCCAGGTCAGTTCATGCTTGCCCGCTACAGCCAGGTGCTCATCCAACTCTAGCTAACAGCCACTATTATGCAGAAGAGGGATAACCATACACTGGCATATTTCAAATAGCTTCATGAAATAGGCTACACAGGGGATGAATAGAGTCCACTTATGCATTTCACTCACAGGTGCTTACTCCTCTCTCACTCAGTCTTTCATTTGCTGTGTTGTCTACCCCTCAGATGAACTGTTTTTGGATGCCCCAGTATGCCTAAATTACAGTCAGGTCCATAAATATTGGGACATCGACACAATTCTAACATTTTTGGCTCTATACACCACCACAATTTATGGACCTGACTGTATTTCATCCCATGTCCTGTAAAATTCTATTCTTGGTATACGTTAAGGGTCACAGTTCACTACAAAATAAAAGAGCATGATGAGAGTGGGAGTTGTTATTTTGGGCTGTCTGCAACTTTTTTACCAGTGTCCAGTCTCCTGAAGGCAGCAGCTTATAATGCAACGTACCTCAATACTCTATTCTGTGTCCCTTAATATACTTCTAAAGGATTTAATGTAAGTACATCATGGATCATCATCTAGAATCTGTATTTGTACAATACTTTATTTTATATTTTCAGTAATTTATGTATGTTTCTTAAGGAGCAACAACATTTGAAATACCATCAAAAATTATTTTCATGAACATTTATTTATTTATTCAGACATACATGCTACAGCAAAGCAAATAGCTGAAGTGAACAACTTGAGCATGAGCAAAATTCGAGACCTTCTGCTTGACAAATGGTTGTGTCCAACTACCCTGCCACAAGCTGTAGTAAGTACAAGTATTTTCTTTTCCAAAGGCCCTTCACCTGTGTTGCAGATTGGGATGCAGTTTATACTTTGAGAACTTTTGATGTGCCTTTTTAAAAGGTGCACAGATTGAGCACTTGACTCAGATGTCAATGATGTGCATGCTGTGACATTAGAGGACTCGCCATATCACTATGAATTTACTTACAGTGGTGCCATGAATTAAGCTGGATTCCTACATAGTTACATAGTCTGGTTACAAAAAGACACACATCCATCCAGTTCAACCTACAGAGAAAAAAAAACACAAATAGAAAACCTCCATATACACAATCCTTTACCCATAGTTGATCCAGCGGGGAAAGAAAAACATAAAGAATGATCTATTTTGCTCCAATGGAGAAAAAAATTCCTTTTTCATCTCCCAAGAGACAATCTGATATTCCCTGGATCAATTTATACCTATAAATATTAGTATCTAGTTATATTTTAAGAATTTATGAAAGAATCCAGGTCTTTTTAAAACAATCTACTGAGCTGGCCAGAACCAGTTCCTGAGGGAGTCTATTCCACATTTTCACAGCTCTTACTGTGAAGAAGCCTTTCTGTATTTGGAATTCTCTTTTCCTTCAGACGTAGTGGTGCCCCTTGTCCTCTGTGATAACCTTAAATTGAATAACTACACCAAGTTCACTATTATGGACCACTTATGTATTTTATACATGCTGATCATATTCCACTTTAATCTCCTCTTCAATAGAGAATAAATTCAGTTCAGCTTCTTCCTCGGTGACATATGCCATGACACTCAACAAATAAAATAACTTAATAGCTAATGGCAAAAATAGACATGAGCTTGTTTTAAAGTGTGTCACCCTGCTTTTTTTTGTGTAGTAGGGATTTGAGCATCTTTGAAGTCAGTCATCTAACTGCTTATTAATGAGTGTAGTGTGGTGCTTCCTCACTTGCTCCTTGGTTTCCTCTGAACCCTTCCTTAGTCTGTGGGATTCTAAAAAGCATACCAGGGTGGCAAATGGAGGGAGATCGGTGAATTATTTTTTTCCAATAACCTCTACTTTGATTGAACTGAGAATTGCCCAACTTTAGGATCTCTGTGCTGCTGGCTGGAGGCAGAAGGGTCATGAAGGATGTTTAGAACCTGTATGTCTCCAGGATCAGTAAAATGTATAAAATATCTTCATCATACAGTACAGAATACAGGAATTGATTCTTAAACCATGGGGTTAAATGCTGCTATCTTCAGATGGCTTATAGGGTCCTACTCCTGTAGGTGTCACTATAACCCCATAAGGTTATAGTATAGTCAAGAATCAGAAGAACTGTTTGTCAATGAACTCCGAGAAAGGATTTTACGGTGAGTAATAAAAAAAAAAAAATCCAGTTTTGGCTGGTAAAATGTACTACTGGAGTTGTAGTTTGCGTATGTATTTTTGCTTCTTTACTTCTACAATGTCTAACTTATTACTATAATGTTAGTCATGACATTCTATAGAAATATCAAAGTAAAATATATTGGTCTGCAGTTATTATATTTAAATTGTCAGCATAAGGAACAAAGAGTTGTGTGTTTCACTGGCCTATTGAAGCTATATAAGGACAGCGTCTTCTCTTTGCTTAAACTTGCATTTTTAACTAAAATAAGCAATCATCTTTTTCCAGAAAGACAAAGATATATTTGGTGATGTCCAAGGGGATGAAGACCTCAGTAGGTATGTTGTATGGCAATGTGGCTTCATCTGCTATGTTTCAGTAAGATAACTCCCCGTACCTGTAATAATAAAACAGTACAGATGATGAATTGTAATGAGCCTCAGAAAACCACTGTGGGATTCAAGGTCTTGAGCAACTGCCTTAGAAAAGTAAATATTTCTTAATTTCGAAATTGGTAGGAATGGCCCCCAAAGCACAGACTCAAACTCTAATAAATAAATAAATAAATAAATAAATAAAAAAAAAATAATCAAGGACCATCTCATTGTCACCAGAGACACTTGCACGGAAGCATGGATTAACTATTGGACAGTTTAGTGCTTTGGTACTTCTGGTAATCATTCACAAAATGTAAAGTAAAGAATTGTTCAAGAAGATCACATTCTATAAACGTACAAAGAACAGGCAGTGGTCAAGGCAGCAAACCAATTTGAAGCAAAGTTGAGGTCAGGAAGAAAAGGTTCAAGTTAAAATGTAGGGACAAGAATAGCAAAGTCAGTGGCTATAGAAGATAGAGGCTGGAGGCGTGGGGACCGTGCTGCAATATGGCCGCATAGACTGAGAGCTCCACTCAGCACAGGGGAATCCTCAGAGCCATCACAAACCAGGGGCATCAACGGTACCTACTGACTGGCTCATCCTGCTCTCCAGACCCCACGGTACACAGTGATATGTGGAGACGCCGTCCAGACCCACCGCAGGTGCAGAAACTTTCTCATTTTTTCTCAGCCGTTAGCCGCGAACCTCAACAAAATGGTGGCTGGAGACCATCTTCACTGCCATCCGCAATGCCTCTAGTGTCTGCACTGGCCAAACACAAAGACACCACTGGCGGAGACACAGCAGTGACTTTAGACACCTTTGTGTCCTAATACCTCTGACTTAATCACTTCATTGCCTTCCACACAAAGCCTGGTTAAATCCAGGCTAAGAATGGACTCAGGCAATGCTGAGCATGTTCTATTGGGTATGGAGGTGAGCAATCCATGCATAATTCAGTCATCTCCAATGACTTGCTCTGATCCTATAGCCCAATTTCCAATAACTGGTCAGCCTATCTCTGATGTAACTATGAAGGAGATGCTTATGTCACTCAGATCATCCATACAATTTGATGTGGTATATCTTGTATACAACAATATCTCCCAGATCTCTCACTTCTGCTCTACAGAGTGGATCAGGTAGAGGACAAAATGGCGGAATATACATCCTCCTTCAACACCCTGGTAGATTCCCACACATCTCAACAGGAAACTATTGATAGATTGAAATCAAAAGTGGCAGATTATGAGGACTGCTCACGTTGTAATAATCTGAAAATACGTGGAGTCCCGAAATCTGTACTACCACACCAGCTTCCTCACTATGTCCATGATCTCTTTAAAGCGGTAATTCCTTCATTAACCTCGGCTGACCTCGCTTTTGACAGAGTTCCCAAGTTGTCCTTTCCACCCCCTGAAGTTCTTTGGGACGTCCTATTAAAAGTGCACTTTCAAGTAAAGGAGAAACTCCTGGAAACTTTTCGCTGAGCAGACAATCTACCTGTGCAAGCAACCAATCTGCAAGTGCTCCCAGATCTTTCTCAACACATTTTTCAACAACGCAGAAAATGAAATACCATTACAAAGGCCTTAATAACAAAATAATCTACCGCTAGAAATACCTGGCTAAACTCAACATCACCTACAAGGGCTCTGACCACCTTACAACATCTCTAGATGAGTTTGCACCTCCTTCAATCCTGGAATATCATACCTCTAGCACCTGAACACAATTCCAGTATGCAACGTACTCCACCGACACAAATCCAACTGACAGGAGTGGCATATGGTAAGCCACCGTAAAAAAATGTCTTCCAAGAAAACCTGAGGCTATCGTTAAGTTTTCTACATATCCTCAAAAGGTTTCCCCTAGTGTTTGAGAGTTCCTGTCATCGTACTCAAAACTCCCATAATACGGGTAGTTTATACTGCCTGGTCCATATTGGACATTATATTTTATGTAATCTTTATTTAGTGTAAAGACAGTACAGAGAAAATCAAATCGGCATTTCTCATTCAATATGAGCAGAAAAAAAATCATAACCAACGAGGCAAGCTCAAGTCATTCAGTGCCACTGGCCTTCAAGCTTAACCGCTTACCCGCCGCCTTATAGTAGAAGTACTGCTACAGGGTGGCAGGGCTGTGCAAAATCCGGTATATATACATCATTCGCATTTCCGGGTAGGGGTGTGTGAGCCGCCCTACCAGCGCCGCTATTGGCGGCTAGGGATGTCAATCGCCGTGTAAAGCTGACGGGAGAGACCTGTGTGTAAACAACTCCGGTCTCTCCCCTGTTAACATGGACATGCTGTTTTGTATCTCTCTACACAGCGGAGAGATACAAAACAGCATGCCTCCCTAGTAAAACAGAATACATAGCAAAACAGACACAGCCCACAGTTAACCCTTTGGTCATCCAAAAGTTAACCCTTTCCTGCCCAGTGTCATTAGTACAGTATAAATAAAGGGTGCAGCACTTAAAATGAAGAAAAACCACAAGTATTGGATTATGCATACAATGCTAACATAAATAATATATAAAAGGAGTGACTTGTGGTAAAGTGCTAATAAATAAACAATGTGACTCAATGTGTCAAGTGATATGTCACTGTATCGTGACCAAAAGGTGCATACATAAAGTGCAAAAGTCAATAATAAACATATAATAAATAAATATCCGTGTCACTGCGTAGTGACCAACCGTGCATATAAAGTGATAAATAAGCATATGGAGCATATAGTCCAAAATAAACGTGTAGAAAATCCAAATATATGAAGTGCATGGAAGATCACAAGGATTTCCGACAACTGGCGGTCTAATCCAGTAGGTGATGGTATATCCAAACCAATAAAGACTGCGCACTCACCAGATGCGCAATCAGTAAGCGCATTTAAGAGATAACACTCTTAGTAGTAAGCTGGAAGCTCCTCTGGAATATGGTCTGGTCTGCTGTCCCTCACTGCTCACTCCGCTGTCAGCAATGGCTCTAACCTTCTCTTATGTGGCTCTGTGGGTGATGGGAAGCTCACATAGAGCCCCAGAAAGAGGAGGCCAATAGCGTGATATTGTTTACAAATATTGTGTTTATTATAACATCCAGCAAGCAGGTAAGTGGAAAAAAAAAAAAAAAAAAAAAAAAGTACTGACCAGATACAAGAATCAAGATGGCCGCCGGGACCCAGGTGGCGCTCAATACCCTATAATATCTGAAATGTCAGAGCCCTGGTCCTGAGAGGATACTGAGTGGGGAGAGGCTGGGGTGGCTGTGTCACTCACCAACTGGGAAGATGCTATTGGCGACACTTTTGGGAGTAGGGAAGGCTGGGATATAGCTGCAGAGTTGTGTCTCCACTCCCGTTCCGGTGCCCTCTTGGAGGCCTCTCCATTCATCCACCCGCTTCCTCCAAAGAATGAACTTATGGAGCCCCACCTGAGAGTGGCAGTCCCCTGGGGCTGATAAGAAGCTATACGGTAGTGGGACATTGCAGGGTGTGCTGTTTGAGCTGCGGGAATCCCCATAGCAGGCTTAAGATGCGGCAGTCTGTGAGGAGCTCTGGTGCCGTGCTAAATACTGACATTACTTTGGAAGAGAGAGAACTCACTATTCTTTCACTTCCCAGTGGAAAATCGCCAGGCCCTGACGACCTTCCTAATGAATACTATAAAACCTTCAAGCATGTCTTGACCCCATACCTTCTCCCTGTGTTCCACGAAGCAACATCATCTGGCTCACTCCCACAAGAAATGCTTAAAGCTTACATTGTTACCCTTCCTAAACCGGGAAAATCATTAGACATGCCATCCAATTTTCGCCCTATTTCGCTACTTAACTTGGATATTAAAATCTACACCAAGCTCTTAGCTAAACAACTTTTTAACCATTTGAATACCGGGCAATTTTCCCCCTTTCTGCCCAGGCCATTTTTCAGGTTTCAGCGCTCTCACACTTTGACAATTGCGCGGTCATACATTGTACCCAAACTAAAATTTTAGCATTTTCTTCACACAACTAGAGCTTTCTTTTGGTGGTATTTAATCACCGCCAGGGTTTTTATTTTTTGCTAAATTACCAAAAAAAGACTGAAAATTTTGAAAAACACGTTTTTTCTTTCTGTTATAAAAGTTTGCAAATAAATAATTGTTCTTCATAAATTTAGGCCAAGATGTATTCTGCTACATGTCTTTGGTGAAAATAACCCAAATTCAGATGTACTTTTTAGTTTGTAGGAAAGTTCACAAACTATGGTATAGATCTGAATATTGATCAATACTGAACTACGGACAGCCAATCTAATTTCTTGAGGTCCAAGAATGTCAGAACAGTACAGATATCCCCCAAACGATCCCCTTTTGCAAAGTAGACAGTCCGACGTACTTCATAAGAGGCATGGCAAGTTTTTTGAAGTTGTATTTTTTTTTTTTTTGTCATTTTTCGGAAAAATGAAAAAATGCAAAAAATTTTCACTATTTTTTTTTTTTTTACATACTGTCACCAGTGCAGTACAACGTCTTCATATAACTGGCATGGCGGTGATCAGGGACACTGACTGGTGACAGTATGAAAAAAAAAAAAAAAAAAAAATATATATATATATATATATAATCTTTTTATTTTTTTTTTAAGATTTTGTTTTCATATTTCACTATGTCCAAAGTAGTACAATGTTACCATAGTAACATTGTACTACGTCGGGGAAGTGATCTTTTTTTTTTTTTTGTTTTTTTGTTTTTTTTACACAATTTGCTTATAGCAAAGAATTACTTTGCTATAAGCAAGCATTTACCTGAGTGACATCGATTCATTCAAGGTTTTTTTTTTTTTGTGCTTAGCTGTGATTTGGCCACAGCTAATCACATGACGTGCATGTGATTAGCTGTGACCATTCACAGCTAGACAGTAGTATACAATGGATGGCATAAATGAAGCCATCCATTGTATACAACTGTCATGTGACCTGCTGTGATTGGTCACAGCAGGTCACATGGTACCAGCAACGGTGCCGATACTCAGATCTGTCATCGGCCGTGTCCGAGGTACACGGCCAGTGACAGATCGCGCCGCTCTGCGGCTCAGCAAGCACGAAAAAGTATGCATGTGCGAGAGGACGCCATTTGGCGTCCAACCTGGAAATCCAATACATTTTGCCGACCGCCTTTTGGCTATTGGCCGGGCGTGTATTGGTTAATATCATTCCATCCTTTGTGGGACAGGATCAAATAGGTTTCACAAAAGTACATCAACTGGCTGATGCAACCCGACGAATCCTAAATATACATTCAGCAGAAGCACGTAGAAAGACTTTGTCTATTGATGCAGAAACGGTCTTCGACAGAGTACACTGGGGTTATATGTCTATGGTAAAAGCACAAAAAGGTAAAGTGAACACTATAGGTAAGCTGCTGTGGCACCAAAAAAGGTACCAAAAAACCTTCCAAATCAATAATATAAAAAGTAGGTGCAGCGCTGAGATCAAAACCTAAAACATCAGACAATGAGTCAAAAACTGCAGGAGTGACCAAACTTGCATATCAACCAGCAAAAATTATTGGTAATAAAGCATGTCACTGTATCAACGTAATAAATAAAGTGATATAGGTGCCCTCCTATTCCTTCTGTACTGAAATGTATTGTAATTGTACTGTCTCCCTTATATTGTAAAGCGCTGCGCAGACTGTTGGCGCTATATAAATCCTGCATAATAATATAAAGTGACCATAAATCAAAACATATATGAATTCATAAAGTGACAAAGTGATGAATATATATACTGTCACTCAAGGTGACTATTGGTGCTATATGGTGACAATGTCCAAAGGAAAGTGAAGATCCAGTAATATGATCTCAGGGTATGGTGATTGACTTTCTATATCCAACCATATGGTGATGTGTCAGGTAATAGAAGAATTGTGCACTCACCAGATGTGCAATATAATCACGCATTAGAGAATAAAAACTCTCAATAGGTGAGCCGGAGATCCTCTTAAAGGTATGCACAGCCTGGTCTGGAGTTCCCTCTCTGAACCATCAGCAGTACCTCTATCTTCCTCCTTATACAGCTCTGTGGGTGGTTACGCTCACAAGGAGTTTGGATTTGGCTTCATAATTTTTTTAGTCCATACTTTTGTGCTTTCAGCCTTGGCAAGAAGATTCTCGAGGTGGGCATCTAGCTCTGTTTTCTCTGCCTATCCAAGTTTCTCTTCTGTAAATGGAGCCCAATTTTGATCCAATAATGCACATTCTTGAGAAGACAATTATTGCACAACAATTAAAAGTGATTATTAGTACAGTACTTAAATGCTGTGTTCCGTAGAAATAGTCAAAACTTCTAAAAGCCCTGAAATTAAGTTGGTTGATGCTTTTAATTTAGAGTGGCAAAAAAAACATCCTAAGGTTGCACCCCGATAACATGTCCTACATTATTTCATGCAACATAAATGCATTGACACAGTATAAGCATTACAGGTAATGCTGGTTTTCTAATGATTTGTAATGGTGTATTAAATTTTTTTTTTTTTTTTTACAGAGTTATATATCTTCTCCAACCATACCCTGTAGATTTCAGTTCAAGAATGCTGTATGCAATTGCAACTTCTACTACTTCTGTAAGTGATTTTAATTAGATTTTTCAATATAAACGTGAACAAATAAAAGAAAAAAAACATGTCAACGGTTAAAAGGATAACTTTTAAACAAAATACTTTACAATAACCTAGCCTTGAAATAACGTTCCTTTTTTTTTTTTTTATCAACTTTTTTTTTTTCTTCTTCTCAGTATATGGATAACATTGCTGCCATTTTTTTACATTGAAATTTAACTTGTCTTATAAGCTAATTCACATCGGATTGTACATTGGTTATAGATCAGTGTGCATTAGCAGAACACCTCTGATGAGCTGACCCAATTTGAACATTAAACCACAGCATAAATATGTGGCTGTGTAACCATTCTACATTAATAAAGGTTTTCTTTTGGTGTGAATCCCAGTAAACTTTGCTCTGGTCTAATCCAAATTAGATAAAAAAATAAAGGAATAATTTCCTTGCCCAGTGTGTTTTCTTAGAGTTTAATGGGGGGCACAAGCCCCACGTCATGATGCCTTCTGCACTACTTTGTTACAAAACTGACTGAGGCATGCTGGAAGTGGCATGAGGTCTGGTCTATGCTAACTGGTGTTTTTTTTTTTTTTGTGTTTTTGTTTTTTGTTGCCAGTGTCCTAATCCTATCGTAGGTAACAGTATAACCCCCTGAGTCCTGTATCCCTCAGTGAACTTTAAAAAAAAAAAAAAAAAGGGTTTTATGTTAGAATAACATAAAGTCATTCAGATACATTGTGTTTATACTGCTGCCTTCAGGAGATTGGACACTGGCAAACAAATATGTAGGGACAGCCCAGTACAACCCCTCCAACTCCTGGCATGCCTCATATGTTTGCTAGTATCCTAGGAAAATGGTCTTCTCTCCACTGAGAGAAGAAAAACATTTTCTTTACTTTTTTATCAAGATTCTTTTTTCTCTGGCAAGTTTCTACAGTTGTTGCAGAGCCAGAAAGTGTTCATTTTTTCAATTTTCCAGATCAAGCCATAGAATCCATACCCAGAGTTTGTTGGGGGGAAAAGCAGGACCTGCCTGTAATGTGTCTTTGATCACTGGCCTCTGTTGAAGTCACTCATCTACACATGGTTCATGTAACAGCCCTTTACAGGTCCAGGGCTGTGGTGGAACCCTGTTCCCAAAGACCTCTTTAAAAAGTATCGCACTGAAGCGGACAAAATTGTCTGTACCAGTCTGCTGAGACTGATTGTGCTTTTACTAGGCAGTCCTTACAGTTTCCAGTTTCCTGCAGGCAGCAGCATAACTCAGTTTAACTCAGCACCCTGAATTACTTAATCCTGTGTCACTTAATATACTCCAAGAAAAGTGTTTTATTCCTAAAGGAATTCAAAAATACTATTTCTGTGCCCTATAAAAATTTGAGCAGTATATGTGTATAAATTCTGTGTGTGTGTGTATATATGCGTGTGTGTGTGTGTGTGTGTGTGTGTATGTCTATATATACACACACCCACACTATTTCCAAAAGTATTAGGACACCCCTCCAAATCTTTCAGGTGTTTCAACCACCTCCATAGCCACAGGTGTATAAAATCAAACACCTAGGCATGCAGACTGCTTCTACAAACATTTGTGAAAGAATGGGTCGCTCTCAGGAGCTCAATGAATTCAAGTGTGGTTGCCACCTGTGCAATAAGTCCATCCATGAAATTACCTTGCTACTAAATATTCCACGGTCAACTGTTAGTGATATTATAACAAAGTGAAAGCAACTGGGGAGCAACAGCAACTCAGACACGAAGTGGTAGGCAACGTAAAATGACAGAGCGGGCGGTGCGCAGAAGTCGCCAACTGTCTTCAGTCAATAGCTAAAGACTTCCAAACTTCGTTTGGCCTTCAGATTAGCACAGCAACCGTGCATAGAAAGCTTCATGGAACGTGTTTCCATGGCTGACCAGCTGCATCCAAGCCTTACATCACCAAGTGCAATGCAAAGCATCAGATGAAGTGGTGTAAAGCGCACCATCACAGGACTCTAGAGCAGAGTGAGGAATCACACTTCTCTGTTTGGCAATCCAATAGGCAAGTATTGTTCTCCAGACAGCTGCCAAACCCAGACATGTCTGTCTGCATTGTGCAAAGTGTAAACTTTGGTAGAGGGGGGATTATGGTGTGGGGTTGTTTTTCAGGGGTTAGGCTTAGTCCCTTAATTCAAGTGAAGGGAATTCTTAAGGTGTAAGCATACCAAGACATTTTGAACAATTTTATGATGCCAACTTTGTGGGAACAGTTTGTGGATGGCCCCTTTCCGTTCCAACATGACTGTGCACCAGTGCACAAAGCAAGGTCCATAAAGACATGGATGAGTGAGTTTGGGGTGGAGGAACTTGATAAGCCTGCAGAGTCCTGACCTCAACCCAATAGAACACCTTTAGAAAATGGAGGGACTGTGTATAAAAATGGTTGCAGTTTCTAAAATTTGTACTTGATATTTATGTTCATCTCCTTGAATTAAAGCTGAAAGTCTGCACTTCAAATTCATTTGGATTGTTTAATTTTAATTCTGGTGGCATACAGAGCCAAAAGTATTAAAAGTGTGCCTGTGTCCAAATATATATGGACCTAACTCTGTGTGTGTATGTATGTGTGTATGTATGTGTGTACGTGTATGTATGTATATATATATATATATACACACACACATACAGTTGCAAGAAAAAGTATGTGAACCCCTTGGGATTACGTGGAGTTTTGCATGAATTGGGCGTAAAATGTGCTCTGAATGTCATCTAAGTCACAACAATAGAAGAACACAGTCTGCTGAACATAATACTACACAGACATTAGATGTTGCCATGGTTTAATTGCACATAACATGTAAACATTCACAGTGCAGGGAGGAAAAAGTATGTGGACTTAATAACTGGTTGACCCTCCTTTGGCAGCAATAACCTCAACCAAACGTTTCCTGTAGTTGCAGATCAGACCTGCACAACGATCTGAAGTAATTTTGGACCACTCCTCTTCACAAAACTGTTTCAGTGTAGCAATATTCTTGGAATGTCTGGTGTGAATCGCTCTGTTAAGGTCATGCCACAGCATTTCAATCGGGTTGAGGTCAGGACTCTGACTGGGCAACTCCAGAAGGAGTATTCTGTGCTGTTGCAGCCATTGTTTTGTTGAATTACTTGTATGCTTTGGGTCATTGTCCTGTTGCATCACCCATCCTCTGCGGAGCTTCAGTTGGCGGACAGATGGTCATACGTTTTCCTGCAAAATGTCTTGATAAACTCTGGAATTCATGTTCCCATCAATGACAACAATCCGTCCAGGCCCTGAGGCAGCAAAGCAGCCCCAAACCATGATGCTCCCTCCGCCATGTTTTACAGTGGGGATGAGGTTTTGATGTTGGTGTGCTGTGCCTTTTTTTCTCCACACATAGTGTTGTGTGTTCTTCCCAAACAACTCAATCTTGGTTTCATCTGTCCACAGTATATTTTGCCAGTAGTGCTGTGGAACATCCAGGTGCTCTTTTGCAAACTTCAAACGTGCTGCAATATTCTTTTTGGACAGCAATGGCTTCCTCTGTGGTGTCCTCCCATGTACTCCATTCTTGTTTAATGTTTTCCTTATTGTAGATGTGTCAACAAAAATGTTAGCATGTGCCAGAGATTTCTGTAGGTCTTTAGCTGACACTCTGGGATTCTTCTTTACCTCATGCAGCATTCTGCGCTGTGCTCTTGCAGTCATTTTTACAGGACGACCACGCCTAGGGAGAGTAGCAACAGTGCTAAACTTTCTCCATTTGTAGACAGTCTGTCTTACCGTGGACACATGAACATCCAGGCTTTTGGAGATACTTTTGTAACCCTTTCCAGCTTCATGCAAGTCAACAATTCTTGATCGTAGGTCTTCTGCGAGCTCTTTTCTGTGAGGCATGGTTCACATTAGACAGTGCTTCTTGAAACCAGTAAGCCCAAAACAGGTGTGTGTTTTTTAAGGGCAGGACAGCTGTCAGCAACACATCCAATATCATCACACACTGATTGGAGTCAAGGTTGGCTCACTCCTGGCTCCAATTAGCTCTGGGAGAAGTCATTAAGCTAGGGCCTCACATACTTTTTCCTCCTTGCACTGTGAATGTTTACATGTTATGTGCAATTAAACCATGGCAACATCTAATGTTTGTGTAGTATTATGTTCAGCAGACTGTGTTCTTCTATTGCTGTGATTTAGGTGACGCTCAGAGCACATTTTATGCCCAATTCATGCAAAACTCCACGTAATCCCAAGGGGTTCACATACTTTTTCTTGCAACTGTATATATATTTATCTACTGTAGATATGCAAGTATATCTCTGTGCCATCTCTAATAGGCTCACTCACTTCCCCTTGTTTGACCTTTTATGTGATAAGTTAGGTCATAAAACGCTTTTTAAATCTCCACCACTGGTATGGAATATCCAACAATGTCTTCTTCTAATTCCAATTGTTAAGCACCACTTATGAAACCAAAAATTGATTTCTGTTATTTCCACCTCCATTTGCTAATTCACAGTTTCAAGTACCGTTGCACAAAAATACACAAAAAGGGAAAAAAAAATGCTCATTTATTATAACATTAAAATCACTCACTCCTCCAGTTGCTATCACTTGTACTATTGTAAGCATATGTACTTCATAAAAACTCTCTAGTTATGTACGAACCTCAGGTAGCATGATGGCCAGTGTTTAGTCACATTGACTTCCTCAGAAAAAAAAAAAGCACTGTGGCAGTGCACTTCTTCTTTCTTGTTTTGTTTTTCGGATTCATTATATCATTATAGTTAGAAATAAATATTTGCAATTTTTAAGATTGTGTGTGTGTGTGTTTAAGGTACACATAACAAAAGTAAGGTCACACAATAGTTTAGCTTATTTTTATTTATTCAGTTCACATCAGCACTGGGCACACTGGATAGGAACTGGGCCAGGCACTAGGACAGGGAGATGTCACCACAGTCATCCTCAAGAGGTATCAAAAGCCAGATGGGGATGTCTTTCATCAGACGACACATATAGCTGACATATAGCTTTTGAGTGGACTGCCCCTTTCATTTTTATTTTGCGGTTACTTGAGTGTTTACAAATTCTTTGCTTTTTTGCAGTACTGTTGATATAGGAAAGTGTTATTGACCTGGATCTTTCCAAATAGTTGGGTCATTACGCAGTTTTTGACAATGTATGCATATAACTTTTTATATACGAGGGGCGTTCAAGTCAAACTGGGACTTTTAAGTTTACAGGTATAAAAAGGGATGCTAGCGTATAGGTACTACGCGCAGTAGTAAGTGGCAAGTGTGTCCTATTACTGACAGGCGGCTCACATGTCGCAGGCCAGTCCAGAGACCGTTAATGAAGATGGCAGACAACAGTGTTAGTGCGAACATGAACCAGCGTTTTGTGATTAAGTTTCTTGTGAATGTAGATATGAAATCCATGGTTATCTACAGAAGACTTTAAGCACAGTACGATGGTGAGATGCTCGCCGCAGTAAGACAATTAAATGGGGTAAACGTTTTTCAAAAATGGCCATACAGCAGTCACTGAGGATCCCAGTCGTGGAGATTCCTAGCCCACAGCAGTCATTCCTGTGAACATTCAGCGCGAGGAACACCTGATCCTGGATAATCAACTCATAACCTGATGTGAAATTGTACAAGAGACGAATCTTTGTGAGAACAGTAAACACAATCATGCCGAAGTGAAGCAGGCTGTCTTAGGATGGTCCGGTTGTACTGAAAAATCTTTTTATGCCAAAGCTTTCCAAGCATTAGTTAAATGCTGGGATAAGTGTATAAATGTAGCAGGGGAGTATGTTGAAAAATAAATGCAGTTTCCACTCCTTGAAATTTTGTTATTTAATTATATAAAACTCAAAAGTCACGGTATGACTTGAAACGCCTCTCCTACTATGACTGAAACCTTGCTATTAAAGCTTTCTCTTTTAACAGCCTATTGGTGAAAACAAATTGACATTTGCACACAGAAGTAGAGCTTTACAATGTTTGATCCATTTAGCTGACACAGAGACTGTGGTGTTGCTTGTCAAAAAACCTATGGACCAAGTAAAGTAAGTAAAGTCTGTGACATAGATCCTGTATTTTATCTGCTGTATTTGTCTACATCAGGGATCTCCAAACTGCGGCCGGCTGGCTGGATATGGCTCTCCGTTTTTCTTTTATCTGTCCCTTGGGACACACTTCCTCCCACTGACACCAATGATGGCACAATATTCCTTCCACTGACACCAATGATTATTATTATACAGGATTTATATAGCGCCAACAGTTTGCTCAACGCTTTACAATATAACGGGAGACAATACAGTTCAAAACAAGAGGGAAAGGAGGGCCCTGCTCCTTGGAGCTTATAATCTACGAGGGAGGGGCTAGTGGTACAAAAGGTAGTAACTGTGGGGGATGGACTGGTTGGAAGAGTAGAAGATTCCTGGAGACGAGCATGGCAGGAGGAGACAAGGGAGCTAGAGAGCAGGAGGTCTTGCGAGGAGTGGAGAGTACGGTTTGGGTGATATTTAGAGACAAGATCGTTGATGTTATTTGGGGCAGAGTTATAATTGGCTTTATACGTTATTGTTAATGTTTTATATTTTATCCGTTGGGCAATGGGAAGCCAGTGGAGGGATTGGCAGAGAGGGGTGGCAGATACAGAACGGTTAGTAAGGTGGATAAGTCTGGCAGCAGCATTCATGATAGACTGAAGAGGGGATAGCCTGCGATTCGGTAGGCCAATGAGGAGGGAGTTGCAATAGTCAAGGCGAGATATAACAAGGGAGTGAATAAGTTGCTTAGTGGTTTCCGAGGTTAGGAACGGGTGTATCTTGGAGATGTTCCGGAGGTGAAGTCTACAAGATTTGGACAGTGATTGGATTTGGGGGTGAATGATGGGAGTCTAGGAGTACACCTTCCATGATAGGGCACTATTGCTTCCACTGACACCAATGATGGGGCACTATTCCTCCCACTGACACCAATGATGGGGCTCTATTCCTCCCACTGACACCAATGATGGGGCACTATTTTCTCCCACTGACACCAATGATGGGACACTATTCCTTCCACTGACACCAGAGATGGGGAACGAATTCTCCCAATGACACCAATTATGGGGCATTATTCCTCCCACTGATAACATGATGTGATTTTTTTTTTTTTACTCCCAATGACCACCATACTTATGCATTGTTTGCTCCCACTGATGGCAGGGTTTTTTTTTTTACTCTGACTGGACACATTCCAGCCCCTCTCAAAACAAAGGGCCAGCTTATGGCTCTTTAAACTTTAAAGTTTGGAGACCCTTGGTCTACATCTTAGGAAATTGTTGGATTTCCCTACTAAGAGCTTGTTTATGGTACCTGATATTACTATTATTCAATGAGTTCTCAGTCTATGGACAGTAAAACTGAGCTAATATGGATGGTTGTGAGCGGATAGCCAAGTCAGAGGAGACCCTAACCTTCATTTCTTGCTATTGAACAAATAAAGTACTGTCAAAGGTTTGACAGGTGTGGGATAAAATGCTGTAAATTAAGAAATCTTTCAGAAATAGAAGTGTTAATAGTTTATTCTTCTCTATAACAAAATGGAAAGTAAATGATTTCCTATGTTCCTACGTACGAAAACATAGGAACTGGGATGCAGAAAAATGGCAGCAGGTGCTCTGGACTGAGTCAAAATTTTGAAATATTTGACTGTAACAAAAGGCAAATTCTTCATGAAGGGCTGGAGACCGGTACAATATTGAGTGTCTGCAGGCAACAGCGAAGCATGGTGTAGGTTCCTTGCAAGATTGGGGCTGCATTTCTGCAAATGGAGTTGGAGATCTGGTCAGAATCAGTGCTGTCCTCAATGCTGGGAAATACAGGCAGATACTTATCCATCATGCCATACCATCAGGGAAGCGTGTGATTGGCTCCAAATTTATTCTAGAGCAGGACAACAACCCCAAACATCAGTCTATGGGGTCAACTCACTATGGGGTTACTGCATGAGATAACACTGTCACGTGACCCATTTGCAGAAATTTTCGCATACGGTAACAAAATGTACAATTCACAAAAAAAAAAGATTAACACAAAATTAAAAATGTGTTGGTAAATACTGCAAAAAAGAAACATGCAGGTAAGCTGTTAAGTCCAATTCACAAACTCAACAGAAACTAAAAAAAGATGTGATATTTATCACCAGGGTTTTTGTAGCGGTATCGCATGCTGTAATTTTTCAGATGCAGCGAGGAGGTCCCCCCCAACCTCTAGGGTTCTGGTATGAATATTACGGGGAACACCATACCAAAGTTTTAAAAAAAAACGGCGTGGGGTCCCCCCCAGATCCATACCAGACCCAAAATCCCTTAGGATTGTGAGGGGACCCGCACACCATTTTTTCTTTTTTTATTTTGGTGTCTGGTTCCCCCCCAAAATCCCTACCAGACCTAGGGGGCATTTTTTTTTTTTTTTTTTTTTTTTTAATTTTGGTGTGAGATTTTCTTTAAAATCCATTTCAGACCTAAGGGCCTGGTACGGATGGGGGGGAACCCCACACTGTTTTTCATCATTTGTAATTGCTGACATTTTTTGTTTTCATTCAGCTGTCAGTGGAGCACTGCGATAAATTACCGCAATACAGATATTTTACCGCAAGAGTTATTTATCGCAAAATTCTTAGTGAATTGAACATTTGCAGAAAATTTACCGCATGCGTTATTTTCCTGCATTTTCTCAGTCGTTCTTTAACTAGTGAGTTGACCCCAATGTCTTTAAGAACTGTCTCCAGTGTAAAGAAAAGCAAGGAGTCCTGAAAGTGATGGTTTGGCTTCCACAGAGCCCTGATCTCAACATAGTCTCTCTGGGATTACATGAAGAGACAGAAGGATTTGAGGCTGCCTACACCCCACTGAAGATCCGTATTTAGTTCTCCAACATGTGTGGAACAACCTGTTCCTTAAAAAAAAAAACTGTTAAAGTGTACCTAGAATTAAAGAACTGATGCTGTTTTGAAGGCAAAGGGTGGTTACAAAAAATATTGATTTAAAGTGGCTGTAAAGGCCTAAGGTTTTTTACTTTCTATTCATGAAGTTAAAAAACCTTCTGTGTGCAGCAGTGCCCCCAGCCACCCAATACTTACGTGAGCCTCATCGCGATCCAGAGATGTGCACAACAACCTTTGGCTGAGACAGCAAATGGGAACCATTGGCTCCTGCTGCTGTCAATCACAGCCAGTCAGCCAATGAGGAGAGGTGACACAGGCCAAGTTGCAGCTCCGTGTGTGGATGGATACACAGAGCAGTGGGTGCCCCCATAGCAAGCTGCTTGCTATGGGGCACCCGACAGGAGGGAGAGGCCAAGAGAGCCTGCAAGGGACCTGAGAAGAGGAGGATCCAGGCTGCTCTGTGCAAAACCACTGCACACAGGTAAGTACAACAAAATAATGAGCCTTTAGAATCGCTTTAATTTGGATTTCTTCTGTTCATTTACTTTCCATTTTGTCTATTTATAAAAAATAGAATATTAACATGTCAATTTCTGGAAGCATTCTTAATTACCAATTCTTTTCACACCTGCCAAGTCTTTTGCACAGTACTGTACATCTTAAAGAAAAACTATCCTGAGAAAGTATTGAACCTGCAAATCTCCTCTTCTGTTCTATACTAGTTCCTTGACTGTCTTGCTGGTCTACTGAGCCCAGAGCTTTTTGACTCCCTGACCTAGAACAAGTGGTATTATCTCAGAAAGTATGACAACCAGAGACCAGACAGCTAACCTTTTCTGAAGAAGGTCAGCAACACACAGTCTCGGTATTTTTGTTATTACAGGTTTTCTTTTAATATAACCAGGATCATCCTGACAGTACGTAGATCTAAACATATAGTACTGGTTTGCAAGTAGGAGTTAAATTCTTTATATTTTATAATCACTTTGCTATTAAATTCTCCTAAGGTATTATCTGAAGTGCTGCATTTACCTGTCAGAGTTTGAAATCTTGAATATACCATATACCCTGGAATCATTTCACAGCAGTCCCAAAGAGGGGATGATTAAAGGCCTTTGGAAAAACCACAGCCATGAAGCAAGGGTAAGTCTCATGAAAAATTATGGAATATGAGCCCCTTATTAACTGTACCCACTGTTCCTACATCGTATCATGTTCTCAGATGCTAAGCCTGGGTCAGTAAAAATGTAAAATGGATGTATAGATGTAGAAGCCTGTATCTCCTTTTTGACAAAATATATACACATTAGAAGTTTGATTTTCTTTCTTTCTTTTTTTTCTTTTTATTGAAAATTGTTTTTAGTTATTTAAGCCTCCCCCCCCCCCCCCCCCAACACTCTAACCCCTGGTTCAAATCTGTGCGGGTGGTGCAAATACCTGCAGCCACACCACCCACACAAAGGAATGTGGGACCTGCAGGCTGGTGCCATTAATGGCACGCTGCCTGCACTGGAAATTGCAACCGTACTGGGAACCTCGGTTCCCGTGTGTGGGCTGTGATTTCCTAACTAGTGCAGGGACTTCCCTGCCTGTCCCGGGGGACAAGAGTCCATTCAAATGAATGGGCTCTCATGCCTGCACAAATCATGGCCCGCACAGATGTGAACCAGGGGTAATGGATAAGGCATAAGGGGGAACTTAAATGGTATTTCTACTTGTGCACCTAAGGTGGGATAAAATTTACTTTGTTATATGTCCCCATTCCCATAAAATATATTAATATTTAAAAATTGCAGCTTACCTTTTTTAGATTCTCTCTTCTGAAGTTTCCAGCAATGAAAAATTCTCACTGGTTCTCTGTTATGAGGGATTGGGAAGCTGTGTTTACCATAATTAACCCTGTCGGGAGGCACACGTCTCATCAGTTGTACTAGATTTGAACACATAAAAGGTTGAATGTTTATAAGCTAGATTTATCCTTTGTATGTTAATGGAAATGGGACTCAACCAATCCGGAATATAGCTATTGTGATAGACCAACACAAAGTGGAACATAATTGTGAAGTGGAAAGAAAATGATAAATGGTTTTCATAATTTTTTACTATTCATTATCTGAGAAGTGTGGCGTGCATTTGTATTCAGCCCCCCCACGAGTCAATAATTTGTAGAACCAAATTTCATTGCAAGTCTTTTTGGGGATGTCTCTACCAGCTTTGCACATCTTGTGAGTGAAATTTTTGCCCATTCTTCTTTGCAAAAAAGCTCCAGCTCTGTCAGCTTGGATGGAGAACGTCTGTGAACAGGAATTTTCAAGTCTTGCCACAAGTTATCAATTGGATTTAGGTCTGGACGTTTACTGGGCCATTCTAACGTATGAATATGCTTTGATCTGTAGCTTACAAATCTTTGTACAAATCTAGTACAAATCTTTGATTTGTAGCTCTGGCTGTATGTTTAGGGTCGTTGTCCCGCTGGAAGGTGAGCCTCCGCCCCTGTATCAAGTCTTTTACAGACTCTAATGGGTTTTCTTCTAAGATTGGCTCCATCCATCTTCCCATCAACTCTAACCAGCTTCCCTGTTCCTGCTGAAGAAGAGCATCCCCACAACATGTTGCTGCCACCATGTTTCACAATGGGGGATACTGTGTTCAGGGTGATGTGGATTGTTAGTTTTCCGCCACACATAGCATTTTGCTTTTAGGCTGAAAAGTTCAATTTCGGTCTCATCTGACCAGAGCACCTTCTTCCACATGTTTGCTGTGTCCCCCACATGACTTCTTGCAAACTGCAAATGGGACTTCTTATGGCTTCTTTCAACAATGGCTTTTTTCTTGCCACTCTTCCCTAAAGGCCAGATTTGTGGAGTGCACGACTAATAGTTGTCCTGTGGACAGATTCTCCCACCTGAGCTGGGGATCTCTGCAGCTCCTCCAAAGTTACCATGGGCCTCTTGGCTGCTTCTCTGATTAATGCTCTCCTTGTCCAGCCTGTCCGTTTAGGTGGATGTCCATGTCTTGGTAGGTTTGCATTTGTGCCATACTCTCCATTTTCGGATGATGGATTGAACAGTGCTCTGTGAGATGTTCAAAGCTTGGGATGTTTTTTATAACCTATCCCTGCTTTAATCTTCTCCACAACTTTATCCCTGACCTATCTGGTGTGTTCCTTGGCCTTCATGATGCTGTTTGTTCACTAATGTTTTCTAACAAACCTCCTGAGGACTTCTCAGAACAGCTGTATTTAAACTGAGATTAAATTACACACAGGTGAGGGGGTGGAGCCTGACTATGGCGGCTGAGGAGGGCGCGATGTAGGAGCTCCCTGACAAGCTCCGCATTCCAACCTACCCGGGAGCCCTCGTGATGAAGGAGATCGGAGGGGTGAGACCTACCTCTGTTTAAGGGGATCTGTGCCTGTCTTCTGGTGCGGCGGACCGGAAGTGAGAGACGTAGCTCGGTCTGTCTGGAGCCCGGCGGAGACGCTGTATCAGGTTGGTGGGAGACAGGGAGGCATGGCTTGACCACGTGGTCAGCCGCTGAGGCATACTGGGAGGTGAGGAAGCCGACCGGCGTCCTGTGGAGAGAAGGAGGCGCCGGTCCGCTCCTCGGTTCGCTGTCGGACTTGCTGCCAGGGCTGAAGAGGAGCCTAAATGGCCCAGTTTTGTGTCAACAACCAGAGATGACTCTGAGGAATCCCCCTGAGGAGTGAACTGCTGAAAGGACTGGCATCTGAAGCCTGGAGCCGCCTCGCAAGAACAGAAGAGAGAGGAGGGTGAGTGAGACTGGCTGTGGCTTGAAATATGCCAAATGTTATATTGTGCTGTTTTGAAAAGCAGAGAGTGAAGGAGAGAAAGGGGGATTCCCAGGGAATACAAAGGAGCTGAAAGGAGAAGACTAAGTGACATAGAAAGGAAAGTTAAGGGACAAATAACCAGGCAAGGCTAAGACCCGAGTATATATATTTAACCTTTACTTACCCCGAGTTTATAAAGGAGAATAAGACCCACAGAAGATATGAAGAACAAAAGTGCTAAAGGAGTGGGTTTAAAGGGTCCCAAACCAGCACAATTAAAAAATATACGTCCCAGGGAAATGTGACCCCAGAAAGGCCCCAAGGCATAAATGAAAAAGGAGAAGTGGATCTCAGTCTGGAAAATAGTCCTAGACTATCGTTGGGCTTGAATGTTAGCACTCAACAAATATCAGGAAATATGGAGATGAAAGAGCTTGAAAGAGATCTACAAGTACCGAATAAAGAAGAGATGGCAGAAATGTTCAAAGAATTAGAGAAAAAAATAAAGCAAGAAATGGCAACTATACGTAATGATTTGGGACAGCTGTTAATGAGAATGGAAGAAATGGAGGAGAAAGTTAAAGATCAGGCACAAAACATTTCCGAATTAGAAAAGAAGATAACCAACATGGGGAGAGTCCAGAAAAAGTTGCTTTATAAGGTAGAGGTACATGAAAACAGGGACAGGAGGAGTAGTCTTAGGATATGAGGGGTCCCAGAGATTTCAAAGGGAGAAGTATTGCAAGAAGTAGTAAGTAAAAACTTAAGCTCCATAATGGACAGATCAGATATAGAAGTGATTAAACTAGATGGAGTTTTTAGAATAGGAAAACCCCAACAAAGTATTGGGAAGGGAAAATCAAGAGATATAATTGTCAAATTCCATAAGTATCGGGATAAAGAAGAAATTTGGAGGAAGATCAAAGGAAGAACAACAATTAAGTATGGAGAAATAGACATTCAGTTTTTTGCACATTTAATACCTGAGACTTTGTGGAGAAGGAGATCCCTGAGGCCCCTGTTGGAGCAGATGAGGAAGCAGAACGTGCATTACAGATGGGGAACCCCAGAGTGCCTAATAGGATGGAAAAATGGAGTTACAGCTTATCTGAGATTTCCTGAGGACTTGAGAGACTTTTGTGATAGACTTGAATTGCAAAGAATGGAAATTGCTGGATGGGAAGAAGAAGAAATTAGAACTATAAGAAAAGAGAATTGGCAGCTTGGTAGGGGGGAGAGGGGAGGAGGGGGGAAGAGTGAAAAAAAATTTTTTTTTTTCTCCTTCCGGTCTCATTCTCTCCCTTGCGATATCCCTTCTAGATGCGCGGCCTTAGAGGTCTGTGGAAACTTACTGAGTTAAGTAGATAGCTCGGGGGTAATCGGGGAGGTTGGAAAGAGGGTTCATGGGCGGAGTTTAGCCCCAAGGATTAAATCAAAGGTGGGACTAGGCCCACAAATGATTGGTAGGCATACTAGAAGCCTAAAAAGAGGGGGGGGAGGGAGTGGACGGGAGGATGGGGGGGGGGTGGGGGAGAGGGTATTTTGGTCAACTTCCTGTATGATAGAAGGAGATATAAAAGCAAGAAATAAGGAAGAGTATAGATGGAGAAGAGGGGAGATTTAAGAAAGATGGAAGAAATACAGTTTATAACTTATAATGTAAATGGGTTGAGTTGTCCTGGGAAAATATTTAGGCTATTTAAAGAGCTACAACATAGAGCATCTTCAGTGGTTTTCTTGCAGGAGACACATTTTGAGAGAGTCAAATGTTAAGTTAAAATCTAGGTATTACCCAGCATGGTACTATGCAGATTCCCCGATTAAGAGAGCAAAGGGAGTAGCAATAGGGTTTGCAAAGAATATTAGGTTTGAGCTGGAGGACAGGAAGATGGATCCGGAAGGGAGATTTTTGTTTTTAAGAGGTAAGCTACAAGAAATTGAGTGTACAATGGCTAATATTTACTGTCCAAACAAAAAAGCTGGAGTTATTTTTGAAAAGTGTGCTGAGGAAGCTGATGGACTTTAAAAAAAGGCCGCTTGATTTTGGCTGGAGACTTTAATTTTTGTATGGATCCACAAAAACCTCTTCTGTGCAGAGAGAGGGGTGTAGGGCTCTGAGAATATTGAAGAAAGAAATACATGAGTGTCAACTGGTGAATATCTGGAGAATTACACATATGCATGATAGAGACTATACCTTCTTCTCAAATGTTCATGAGATGTACTCGAGACTAGATTATATATTGATAGAGCATCAACTTATTGAGTCTGTGGTTAAGGTAGAAATAGAAGCAATGTCTTTTTCAGATCATGCCCGTCACAGTGGAATGGAGTGGGGAAGGAGGGGGGCAGG